AGTCCATGTTCATAAGACTATTAAGAAAAAAAATTTTGTTTTCTTTACAAGAAGATATAAAATTAAAAAGTTGAAAAATCCAAGTAACCGATATGATTGTATATGATTTTCTGAAATTAGAAAAAATTTTGTTGTAAATTTAAAAATTAAAAAAACAATTTTGGTTCGTACTTGGTGTGCGTCATATTGTGTATTTCGATTTTTTTAAAGTCCTAGTAAATAGATTTTACGAATTTAGTTAAAAGTAAAATATTTTGCAACCGCGCACACTAAATACGTTCCAAAATTTTTTTTTTTAATTTTTAAATTTACAATAAAATTTTTTCTAATTTCGGAAAATCATATACAATCATATCGGTTACTTGGATTTTTTAATTTTTTTATTTTATATCTTTTTGTAAATAAAAAACTAATTTTTTTTTCTTAATAGTCTTATGAATGTGGACTTGGCGCGATTTTTTTATTTTTTTACAGTGAAACTGTTTTTGTTCGGATGCATTATACATAATATGTTATTGAACTATTCTATATTATTATATACTATAATACTATAAGTATCTCAATGTTATTTAATTACACTAAGCTGTGACTAACCGATTAGAGGCACAATAAAAAAAAACAATTTTCGCTGACACTTAATAAAATTAAAATATATTTTAAATTTTTGAAATAGTGAGTAAATATTTTATTATCTTTAAAAAAAAATTAATACTTATAATTGACCAAGTTTTTAAATTATGAACTTGAAAAAAAAAAAAAAAAAAATGTTCATTAAATGCTTAGAAAATAATAAAAAAGAAAATGTATTTTAATAATTTGTCACTGAGTTAATGAACTAATGTTAATATTAATCATTACAGGATAGTTTTATGCCACCATCACAAAGATGTAGTTACGAGTGTGACAAAAGCCCAACGGGCCCGCTGAACCGTAAAAAGTTGATAGAACATATCAACAAACAGGCGATGGAGACTCCAGATATTCCTGAACTTAAGCCATACGTACCTGGAATCGTTCGTGGTAAAAAGGTATGTATTTATTTATTTTCTAAGTAATTTATCAATTTAATATGATTGATATTATTTTATTTAAAATTTCAGTGGGTACCACCGCCGAAAGAAAATCTCAAGGAAAAGGAAGCCGATGAACAAATTTCAATAGACTTAGGTGAAGAGTATGAACAAGCGCTCTCATCTGCAACGCAGGATGAAATAATTGATCTAGCTGGTAACTATTCATTTATATCAAATTAAACTTAGAGTATATATAAAAGTCCTAATTATTGACACTCATAATTCAAACTCTCGGCAGTCAAATAATTACTGCAGGTTATTAGTTATCAGTTATTAATAATGATTGATGAATTGATGAATAATATTATTTACTTATTGATTAATAAATAATTTTATTTTTTATTTAGCTATCCTTGGATTTCATTCAATGATGAACCAAGATCAATACCACGCATCTCTTTTGAATTCCGGCCAGCCAGTTGGTCTAGGTTGGGACGGTATCACTAAAGCAAGCCAGCCTAAAGTATTTCCTATGGACCCGCCAAATGACACTGATGTTGATCAATCTATCAAACAAGTCCAGAATAATGACATTGATCTTATTGATCTTAATTTAAATAATATTAAAGTAAGTTTATGATTAAATTACTCGAGTAATTAATGTTTAGTAGATCCTTTAAATTTTTTGGAAATTATAAAAATTAAAAATTTATACATTTATTTACTGCATCAGAAGTTTAATGAGAAAGTGTTAATTTTTTTATTGGAAGAAAAATTTTTAGTTTTTTTTTTTTTTTTTAACTAGAGTAATATATCAAATTTTATTGCATATGTGAATAAATTAGAAGTATTAAAAAGAAAAAAAAAACATTACAGAGTTAATAATGTTTTTTAGATAAATAATGTCAGTATGATATTAAATTTTTATCATTTCTCTATCAATCTAGAACATTAAAATGTTATTCTTTAAATATTTATCATTAGTCATCTTACAAACAGTATATTCTTATTTTGATTAGATCTCGGTGATAATTTATTAGATTATTTCTTATCTTTTTTTATTATTTAAAATTTATTATAGAGTATTAAATTATCAATTTTTGATTGAATCAATTATTATTATTTTTATTCTTATCTATATTAAGAGAATAAAAAAAATTTTGTCTCGAGGATAGTCGTATGATAAAATCGGTTTTTTTAAGTGAAATTTAATATCATTGCAAAGGACTTGACTTGAATTTATTAACCTTCTCAAGGTTTCATATCATTCTCACCGATAGTCAATTTATTATGAAAAAAGTACTTAAGCTGCATTCGAAAATACTTCTATTTCTAGATACATAATGAAGAAATCACCTTGTATCTTGTGAACTATTGACATTTTTAAAGATATAAGCTCACATTGACGTTACACTCATCGAGAGCTTTCATTTGAGTACCCACATCAATTTTTCATATATTTATATATATATCATATATATGTATATATGAAAAATATATAAAAATTCATGTGGGTACTCAAATGAAAGCTCTTGATGAGTGTAACATCATGATGAGTTTATATCTTTAAAAATATCATAAATTGACAAAATACAACATAATTTTTTAAGTATTGACATTTTTAAAGATATAAGCTCATTCTGATGTTACAATCATCGAGACCTTTCATTTGAGTAGCTACATCAATTTTTCATATATTTTATATATATATATATATATATATATATATCATATATATTTATATATGAAAAATATATGAAAAATTCATGTGGGTACTCAAATGAAAGCTCTTGATGAGTGTAACATCAGGATGAGCTTATATCTTTAAAAACGTCAATATTTAAGAAAGTACAGTGCAATTTAACAAAAGTCATTATTTAATAAAGCAAAATTTTTGATTAAATCAATTATTATAAAAAATTTTTTTAATTTCAGAATATATCAGACGAACAATTTTTCAAATTATTTGAAGCACTAGAAGGCAATACCCACTTGGAATCATTGAGCTTAACAAATGTGTGTCTTAATGACAGAACAGCACAAAGATTAGCTGAAGCAATGGAGAAAAATTCAACATTGAGAATATTAAAGTACTAAAAATTTTTAACCTTTAATATTAATTGTTTTCAATAAAATTTATTAATAAATAAATAAAATTAAAAATTTTTTTTAGTGTGGAGACAAACTTTATCAGTCCAACAGTGATGGTCAGACTGATCCGAGCATTATTACAGACAAAGTCTATTGAAGAATTCCGTTGCTCGAATCAGGTATTTATCTACAATAAATTATACAATATAAAGCTCAAATTTGACTTTATTAACATTGAATTTTAATTTCAGAGATCGCAAGTTCTAGGGAATAAAATAGAAATGGAAATAACGCAGCTGGTTGAGCAAAATCCAACTTTGCTGCGATTGGGTCTTCATCTGGAGTTCAATGACGCAAGACATCGTGTAGCTGCTCACTTACAGCGCAACATCGACAGGAGTAAGTCCATTTGTCACTTGATCATTTTTTTTTTTTTTTTCACTTATGTTTACTATTACTGTTACGAAAACGGAAATGACGGACAGCTGACATTTTTTTTAAATACTTGCTTACCGCTTTAGCTTTAAATTTTTATTAAGAAGTTTAATCTTTCAATATATCAAGTATAAGGGGTAAGGTGCAGTCGGAGGTACGAAGAAATTAATTAAAAAAAAAAATTAATTCGGACCAAGAAAAATTTTTAAACAATATTTCATCTCGGATTTTGTAGAGTATCTCAGAAATTTTTTTCTTGCCATATATCTCAAAAAAAAATTTATTCAATTTTTAAGAAATATTTTCTGGATATCAAGCTCTGAGAAAATGCAAAAAATCAATTTTTTCACTGATAAAAAAATTTATTTTCATTAAAGAGGAAAAATCTTGAGCCAAAAAAAATTAATTTGTATTTTTCGATTTTATTTTACCTTTGAACGAATGTTATTTTAGCTATTTAGTACAAAAATATTTTTTAGATATTATATTTTAAGAAAATGCAAAAAATTAATTTTTTTTTAATTCTGATTGCACTTAGACCTTTAATTAACAAAAAAAATCTTGTAAATATTCACTAGTGGGGTCAACCATTTTAGTTTTCATTTTTTTGAAAGAAATTTCTATTTGATTTTGTTGATATATTTTTTTTTTTGACAAAAATTTTTTAGAAAATTGTAGTAGTCAACGTTTTTTTTTTTTTTGATTGTTTATTTTTAATGTACTTTTCAAAAAAAAATCTTTCAAAAATATAAAATAAAAATTTTATCCAAAAACATGAGAGCCAAAATTTTTTCCAACTTTTGAAGGCAAAAAAGGTAAAAATAAGCAGAATAAAAAAAAAATTTGAAAATTTGATCATTTTTCACCTAGTTATGGTCCAAAATGTGGTTGACCCCACTTGTAAATAATTTACCAAAAATCTTTCAACTTTCCTATTGAAATTATTTCTTCTTTAATTTTTCATATATTTCCCCGGCCATTTTTCTAGATGGAAGTTACTCGAAAGGCGATTACAGAAGATACAAATATCAGTACAAATACTAAAAATCATCTCATGCTTGGTAGTCTGTCGTAGTGCTCTCATCTCACCTAAAAATTCCGCTTTATCTAAAAAATTACCCATAAAATTTACTTTAAAATATTTTCACTCTAATTCTTTATTCTAATCTAAGGTATGCTCATTTCACTGGTTAGCTTTTTTTATCTTCATTTCTAAATCTTGTAGTGCATTTTATTAATAAAATTCCATAACATGTTACATCTAAAAATTTTATAAATTCAATTTTTCTGAGTAGTTTGTCGTATTGAAGCTTTGCTACGCAAACAAACAGTCCCTATAGCTGGTGGTTCTGCCGGTTTTGCTGTAGTGGAACCTGACCAAAGTCATTAAAAAATCTTTAAAAAAAATATATATATTTTTTTTCTACAATTCAGTGAGTAAATATTAAAAGCTCTATTTATTTTTTCTTTTAACAATCTTAGCATGCTTTTTATAATTATTTTTTTCTGCTCTGCTACTAATTATATTTTAATAACTGACAAAAAAAAAAAAAAAAAAAAAAAAATGACTGACAATTGTGCATGCAATTTAATATTTAATTAATTTTTATGTATACTAGGTTCAGGATTTATTTATGTATAAAAATTAAATATTTATATTTTAACAGTACGGAAAGATCTTGAGTTGCGGCTACAATTCAGATTCTTTAATAATATGAATCACAGGAAACCCGCATTAATTAAGTAAAGGTAGAGGAATTTTATAAAAAAAAAAAATTTAAAAAAAAAAAAAAAAATTGTTTGGGCTTAAAAAAAAAATATTGAATGTGCAAAAGTTGACTAACAAAAAACTAACAAAGTTTTTATGATATTTTCAATTAACTAAATTAATTATAAAAACAAATTTTTTTTTACGACTTAATTATGTTCGCAAAAATAAATTTAATTAATAATTACCGCTAACAATAATAATATTTGATGAAATAATCCAAAAGGGTTAGTGTGCTCACGGGGAATTTATCGTGATAGACATAATCCCAGAGCGCAGCTCGTTAATTTTGTGAAAACCGTCATATAGGACATAGTCATAGTCAAGTTACGATCAAGACGTGACGCGTTAATTTACCCGGAAACGTTAACGCCTACTGTGTTTGTATTTCTCTTCTTTTATACTATCAACACAATTCACCTCCAATCTATTTGGAAATTTCAAATTACATAGAGACAATGCAAATAATTATTGTATGTCATTTTTCTTGTAATGACTGATAAATAATTGATTACAGGATTGGAATTTCAATAGAGAGTGATTTTAGAGGTATTAATAATAATTTTGGGATGTATTAAGGCTCAAAATCTAAGCAGATAGTAATTTTCTCTAAAGTTTGATTAGTTACAGTAAAATATGATTATAGACGAGCATAAGCTATATTGACACTCAAAATCAATGTAATTTCCATTTTTATCATCATTTTGATTCACTTAGATAATATTGCTCCAAAATATTGGTTTTCAATTTTAATTTAAAGAATTTTTATATAATTTAATACTATTTTAGATTGCGTTGACACTTGAAGTCAATGCAAATAGTAATTTTAATTATTTATTTTATTTATTGAAGTTATACTTCTTTAGGCGCGTTATGAAAAATTGATGAGAGTAAAATTTTACGATGCGCGCGCACCGTGACACAAAATTAACAGAATAAAGTTGGCCACAGAATAGAATTAAAAGTATATATTTTTTTAAATGACTAAGTTAACTCATATACAGGTTAGTTGCAAAGGATCCAACGAAACGTTGTTATTTTCAAATTCGATAGAAATACCATTTAATATGAAATATATTATTCATATTAATAATCAATTATCGATTGTAAACTATTGATACTTTGAAGCTCCAAAATTAGTTTATTTAGAAAAATCTTTAATAATATTGAATTAAATTCATATGATAATTAATGATTTTATATTTATAAGGTATAGCTAAATTTTTACTATAATAAAACCTATTTGATTGTTTTTAACATTTTTCTTTGATCATTTTTGTATTTTTTTTTCTTTAAATTTTTTTTTATTATATGCCAAAGAAGTATAACTTCTGACGCGTGTACATAAGTACACACACCATTTTTTTTTATTTATTTATTGATTTTAATGTCAAGGCAGTGTTTGGCCGAATGGCAAAATTATACATTTTATTTACATTAAAGTACACGTAATTCAGTAAAAGAAGTTTCAAAGGTTATTTTGTATTTTCATTTTGAAAATTTTTTGAGCATTTTTCTGTGTGAGGATTTATATTGAAAAAATTTAAAAAGAAAAATGAAAATAAAATAGAATAGGAAAGTAAAAAATTAAGTAAGTAAACTAATCAACAATTTTTGTAAATTAAATTTCGGTAGACAAATAAAGTAGCTTTTGAAATCAATCATTTTATGCAATTTAGGAATTTACTGTCTTTGGTAGATCACACGTTCATTATAGTAAAATTTGATAGTGATTTAGCGCTAAAATTTTTCTTAAGGTGTCTTTGTATAATTAATGACAATTTTAATTTGTATTGACGCTCAAAATCAATGCAAGTTATAATTTTATTGAGGTTTTGATTGGTTCTAGTGAAACTTGATAGTAATATAACGTTAAAAAGTCTATAAAAGTGTCTTTTTATGATTAACGATAATTTTGGTATGTATTGACGCTTAAAATCAATATGAATACGATTTCCCTTCAATATATTTATTGGCACTCATAGTTTCTGTTAGTAATGTCACATAAAAATTTTAACAGTGCTTATAAGCGCTCTATGAAGAATTAAAGACACATTGACCTTAAAAATCAATGCATTATTTTGTAATGATCTGATTTTTTTTTTTATAATTTAATGTTTGTAAGAATAAATCAAAATTAATGAAATGAACAGAGAAAAGAAAACATAATTTGCATTTAAAAATATCAAGACCGTTTTCTTATCAGTGCATTATTTAATAATTAGTTGGTGATTTTCCAAGTATCGCTTAGTTTATAAATACTCAAAACCCTCTTTGTTATTATACCCTTAGGAACATACATTTAAAACCCGAGAGACCTTATAACTGACATGTTACGCTATAGCGGTTGCGTGAGTTGTTTCGACGTGAAACGTCAACCATTTAATTGATTGACGTTATTAGTATTATTTTTATGTATTTTTTCTTTCTTTACTTATTATTAATATTTATTTAAAGAAAAAAAAATTATTTTTTTTTTTTTATTGTAAAAAACTTAATGGGTATAAATTAAAAATCATTAATCTAGTTAATTGCTTCCATTCATAGGATATGCATCGATAGCAATTGGTGTATGATTGATTACTTTCAAAGTTCAAAAATAACATGTGTATGAAAAAAAAGTACTTCGTGAATTTCATTTTTTTCTCTTACAAACAAATTGTTACATTGTATTTATTCGGTGGCTTGAATCAATTAAATTGAAAGCTTTTTTTGATGTGTATTAACAGGGACAATTTTTTTTTTTTATTTTATATGAATATGCGCATGATTAACAACTGTGTGATTCAAATTAATTAATAAATGTTTTAATGAAATTTTTTTTAAGGGATTCTAGTCTGCTTTTAAAAAATTTTTTTTAAGCATATAATAATAATAATATCAATTATGATAGTAATATAGATGAAAAGTGTCCTTAGGCAATTAATGACAATTTTAGGGTGCATTGATGTTCAAAATCAATGTACATACTATTTTGATTCTTTTCAATAATATTGACTGCTAAAATCACGTTTAAAATTCAATTAAAAATGCCTTTGTACTGTTTTTGCCGATCTATGACTATTGACGCTCAAAATCAATGCAAGTAGTAATTTTAAAAAATTAATAGTGATATAGTGTTCAAATTTCATCAGAAAGTATTTTTATATGATTATTAATGACGGTCATAGATTGTATTGACGCTCAATATCAATGTAATTATCACTTTTATCATTTATTTTGATTCAGGTAATATTGCTACAAAATACCGTATTTAAATTTCAATTAAAAGAATTTTACTATTTTAGATTACATTGTCACCCGCATGGAGAAATATATATGTCAAAAATATATGTCGCATATATAATATATATGCCGCATATATTTACGCAAAAAAAAAAAATATGTCAACATATATTTTTCACATAGATGCTAACATATATGCAGAGATACATGCTTACATATATGTAGACATATATGTAAGCATGCACTGAAAAAAAAATTTCTAAGTTTGAGAATTTTTTTACTCAAATCAAGAAAGTTAAATTTTTTTCTGTGTATCTCTAGACACATATGCGCACATATATGTGAACATATATGCACGCATATATGTAAACATATATCTACGCATATATATGAACATATATGCGGACATATATTTAGCGCAAAAAAAATATATGTGAAAATATAAATTTGCATATATTTTTCGCATATATATTTTTCCATGCGGGCACTCAAAGTCAATGCAAGCATTACTTTCATCAAGATTCTAATTATAGTAAAATTTTTTAGTAATATAACTATAATTTGATAAAAAAAGTGTCTTTATATAATTACTAACGAGTATAGGATGTATTGACCTTCAAAATCAATGTAATTATCACTTTTATCATCATTTTGATTCACTCAAGTAATATTGCTTCGTAATATTATTTATAAATTTCAATTAAAATAATCTTTATATAATTAATTACTATTTTAAATTACATTGACCTTCGAAGTCAATACAAATAGTCATTTTATCAATATTTTAATTATAGTAAAATTTGATAGTGATACAACGTATAAAATCAATGTAAATATCACGTTCAAATTTTCTTTAAAAGAATCTTTATCTAATTAATAACAATTTTTGACTGCATTGTCACTCGGAGTCAATGCAGTTTATTTTTGTCAACATCTTAGCATCCAGTCAACCGATTTTTGGGAAATTTAGATATGTTACCAAGCCTGAAACATAATTAAAGATAATATAATGCTTGACACAATTTTTCAAAGTTAATAATGAGAAAAAATTAAAAGACTAGAATTCGCTACTGTCAAACTAATCAGCCGTGTGAATTAATACTGAAAATAATATACGTAACTCATTAAAATAATAATATTATCCTCTGTTACAGTACGAAAATCCCGTCTCGGATCATCTGAGATCAACGACATGTCTCGGTGAGTTAATCTAATCTACATGCATAATTTACATCATAACTTTCATATTCAAATTCGCGTGTATATATAATCCTATCAAACTAAAATATTTAATTTAATTCAGTAAAATTATGTTTTTTCAGTAACATTATAACCATAATTAACAATTTTCCGTCCGTTGGTCGTTAAATTTTTACCAATCATTAATTATTCCTATAATCTAATTGAATCCTATAAAAGGATGCTCTACTTCTTTCTTAAAAATCCGACTTTATACTAATTGACAGAGATTATAGACAGACTTTAATATAGATGGGGCATTACATGCCAAATCGACCACTTTTGACACCGACCCTTTTCGATTTTTCTGAAATTTTGGTATCTTTCTCTACCCTATTGAAAACAATTTTCAGAATTTTTTCAAATTTTTTTACCCAACCAAAAAAAAGTTACGAGTTATTACAAAAAAACAGCTTTTTTTTTTGTTAAATAACCATAACTTTTTGAAAAATGACTTTTTGGGATGTTTTTTTTTTAAAAATTTTTGTCTTTAAATGTACTTTAAAAAAAAAAAAATAAAAATAATAATTCAGATTCATATTCAATGTTTTTTTTAACTTTTTGAAAAAAAACGAAAATTTCGGGATGATTGACATTTTTGATTTTCAATTTTTCTTTTTTATAAAAAACTTCAGTATTTTTTGCAAATTCCCTGAAATTTTCAGAGTGATAAAATTTTTCTTTCTATTTTTTTTCAGAGTGGTATAACGAAAAACAAACATTAAAAAAAAA